ATGTTGAAATGTCAAAGGGTTTCACGCAGTATCAATTTCAGCATCAATTCAATGTTTCCACAGGATTTTCATCATGAGCTGACATTAGTTAGAGAACCATAGGAAACAAAGGGTACTGGACTACTGTTTCGTCTCACTAGTTGGGGACTCTTCATCAGTACGCACCCACCCCAATTGGCTTCGAACCCAGGACCTTCTGGTTACAAGGCTAGCGAGCTCGTAGACCATTAAGCCACTGGGACCCGATCCAATGGCCAACCCATGAATTCTAACTTCTGCCAATTCACGACATAGCGCAACTCCTAGCCAATGTCATCTGTGGCGAGTATTTGTCCTCACACCAGCCGACCTGCTGCACCCCGGTGGGTGCGTACTGATGAAGAGTCCCAAACTAGGACGAAACGGTTGCCCAGTACTAATGTCAGTGCATGATGAAAATCATGTAACCAATCAAATCCCTACAACCCGACACTTGAATTCATTGTTTTGTTTTATTAAAGCACTTTAATATATGTTATAAATAACCCGCTTTATGAATAGGTTTTCTTTTTCACAAAATGTATGAATGTCATTCATGAAAAGTGTGTATATTTACCATAATATTGTTGTGTAAATAGTATGCGTGTGTGTGTGTGTGTAGGTGTTTATTCATTCAGCAATGCCTTTCATCCATCGTACTTATTTACATGCCTTTACTGTGCTTCAGACAATCTACCCTTCCTTTACCACCTCGTATATATGGATGGCATAGAGAGTCATCACATAAATTAAATTAAATGGTAATTCAAACAATATGAGGTCAAGGTCATCATAATTGTGATGATGAAATATTTCGTTTGAATGTGAATAAGGTAGCCGATTCATCATTATCATCATTCTTTGTGTTATCATTACACATTTTTATTTTTCTCTTTGCTCTAATCTACTTTGTTTTGGTTTGGTTTTGTTTGTTTTGTTTTGTTAAACCATCATTTCATTATTTATTTATTTATCTATTTATTTATTTATTTATTTTCTTTAAAACAAACTTGTTATTTATGTCGTTTGCGAAAACCGGTTGTCTATTTATGCCTCTTGGCCTTGTATGACCTTGATGCCTTCATTTATTCGTTGATTGATTATGATGACCTTCACGTATGTGCATATATCCCATTAGTCTGAGATGTACATTATTATTATGACTGGTCGGAGTGCTGTTTAAAATATTGTGCGTGTGTGTCTGCTATGTCTGTGTGTATGTGTGACCTTAACTTGATAGCGCATATATATTGCTGTATAATAAATACAAACACTTCACGATGCTTTAAAAAAAATGAAATCAGCCCCGCCCACTCATACACACACACGCACACATACACACACACAATTGCACACTTGCTCTTTCTGCCTCATTCTCCCTCTGTAGCTGTAATTAATTTGACCTCCTACAAATGTGATACATATGTATATATAGATATATAAATGATTTAATAGTGTGAAATAAATCCCCCTATTATAATGTGATTTAAAAGTAAATCTAAACGAAAAAATATTCTGCACAAACCACTTTCGTTCTTGCTTTATTCAAACGAAAAAATACTTGAATATTAATGAGATTCTCACTGGCGACTGGCCCTATTCAGGTAAGTAGGTAGTTACCTGGGCTGGTTCTAGTGGGAAGTCGTGACCAGTAGGGTGCAGCAGGTCGGCTGGTGTGAAGACAAATACTCGCCAAAGATGACACTGGCTAGGGGTCGCGCTATAAATCGTGAATTGGCAGAAGTTAGAATTCATGGGCTGGCCACTGGATCGGCTCCAGTGGCTTAATGGTCTAGCCTTGCAACCAGAAGATCCCGGGTTCGAACCCAGTTGGGGTGGGTGCTTACTGCCGAAGAGTGTCAAACTAGTGGGGCGAAACAGCTGTCTGGCAGTACTTCCTGTGGTTGGTTTTCCACTGGTTCTCTAACCAATGTCAGCTCATAATGAAATCCTGTAACCAATCAATCAAAATCCCTACAAACCAATACTTGAAAAATATTCTTTTCCAGTACATCCTTCTCTTCAGGTTCTTATAAAATTATAATTTAATTGAACTTTAAATTTTCCCGTCGATTGATGATTGGATCGAATTGCTCCGTCCCAGGTTGACATGTCGACTTCTTGTGCAGATGCTTCGACGATGTCTGGGCATGTAATCAGAAGTTAATTAATTGGTGGATGGTGACTAGCAGTGGAATCCAGAACAACTCGCATTTCGTCCTATTTCGGACTCGTCAACTGGTTGGCGTATCTGCTTTCCCCCCAAATTCAATTAAATAATTAATATGACCCGTTGCACAAGAGGTGGCTAGCTGTCGTGGACCAAGTAGTGTAGTGGGTAACGCTTTGGTGTTTGAAACTATAGGCACTGGGTTCGAGCCTCGGTGGTGGGAACATCATCACTCAATGACTGGGGAATGCAGGTACATCCATCTGGTTGACGAGTCCCAAATAGGACGAAATGCGCATCCTGGTGGATTCCACTGCTAGTCACCATCCACCTATGAAATGATAATATTTGTTGGTGTTACAATCATGATAGCCAGTTATAGAGGCATATTCCATTTCAACTGTTCCTGTGATACGATTAGGCAGGTTTGTCTACAGGTTCGAGAACATTTTACCAGTTTGGTTCAGTAAGGGGGGAGGGGAATTAAATGCTATAAAAATCTCGATTCTATCACACATGGTCGATACTGGACATCACATCGACGTCAACACAGCCTTCAGGGTTATATTACCGAATTCCGAAGTCGTTATCATGTATAGTTCGCCTACATCTCCTTCCTACATTATAGCTGAAGCTGTTGCAACAAGATCGACTAAATCGGAACGGATTAAAGTTTCTTCTTCTCACTAAGACTATCTCTTCCCCTTACCCCTTTTGAGTTGTTTTTCTTTTGCTTCGCTTATTATTACGATTATTATTATTATTATTATTATCACTATTCGTTAGAGGTCGGTCGGTCGGTTTTCGGCATAGAACTTTGCACCGATGTGTGGCAGTTCGAGTCGCCACACTCCATGTAGCACACAAAGCAAGAGAAAAAAGTAGGAGAAACGCATAATATAGACAGTAAACAGAGGTGTGAGACAAAGGTATAGTAATAACGAAGAACAAAACAGTTTAATTGGAAATCATAAGTGGTTCTCTATTCGTTAGAGAACCACTGCAAAATCAGGGAGTACTGCCAGACATCTTTTTTCATCCGTCCTAGTGCTTGGGGCTCATTGGCAGTACGCACCGCTCACTACTGGAGGGGGGGTTCCAACCCAGGACTTTCCAGTTAAAAGGCAAGCTGGCTCGTATACCATTCAGCCACTGGTACCCGATTTAATGGCCAGCCCATGTATTCTAACTTCTAGCAATTCGTGATGCATTTAGCGCGACCACCAACCACTGTCATCGGTGTGAAATCCATCCTCACTCCCGACTGGATAGACCCCACTTTGGAAATTTCTATTTATACTATCCGGACTTATCATTAGTGGTATTATCTATTTTCTCAATATATGCCTCCACTTGTTTCATTTCATGACGAATGAACTTCTCATTGCAGTTCTCTTCAATACATACCATTCTGTACTAACCACTCACCTGACACCTTTTATAACCTTCAATTGACTTGCCATTTTTTCCTACCACACACTAGATGAATGTGTTATGGCTAATCATCACCATTGTCTCCCATTTTACAATATTTTGTAACTGAATTCAGCATAGCACATTTGTCATACAAGTTTGACTTGCACATTAAGAAAGGAATATTATGAGCTGCATTCGCATGGTTATCGACGACTAAAACAGGTTCATCACACATAATTCGTTCCTTTCAGGTTGTAGAATCCATGCGTTAAGATTCTCCAACTCCCCTAGGCGGTGAACCTTTATATAGTGGATCTATTCAATGAGAAGTGTTGAACATTTGCTCTTACTCTTTCACATTTGTAGGAACTTTCTTCCTGTACCAATGGGAAAGGAGTAAATGCGGTTTACCTGGCCTTATTGTGTGCTTATATTGTTAGTTAGGTGAACAGAATTGAGCGGGTGGTTGTGTGTGTGTGTGTGTGTGTATTTTTCTCTGTGGTTACAGGACTGGATTGTACACTGACTCCTTGTTTAGAAATAGGGAGTGAAGTGGTTGGTGGAGCATGCTGACCACTTCACTTATTTGGGAAGTACCATCAGCCCCAAAGGGCGTGTGTACTGCTCAGCAGTCTGCTCCGTCCTCCTTCATGGCTGTGAGACCTGGCCATCGAGAGTGGAAGAAATGAAAAGATTAGCTGTCTTTGATCATAGGTGTCTGCGTCCAATCTCCCGTGTGAAGTGGTATAATAAGGTGAGCAATATTGAGGTGAGGCATCGGTCGAGTGCTAGGTAAGGAGGGGAAATCAATCGACGAGGGTGTGAATTTACATCGACTGAAATGGTTAGGACATGTGTTACGTATGCCTAGCCATCTATCGCCTTCCTCGACAGACAATGCTAGCTGACAAAGGGTCAGGTTGGAAAAGAGCTAGTGGCGGTCAAACCAAAACATGGCACCAGTCAATGAAATCTACAACAGTTAGTTTAAGCCACGTAAGAAGGTGTAGAGTGGCTTCCTGACTGGTTGGGGTCCTCGGGACGGTAAAAACCAATGGTTGGAAACAATTGGTGACATGGCTCAAAATCGTTCTCAATGGATGGGCGCAGATGCATCCACTCCTTGTGATTTATGATTTCCAATGAAACTGTTTTGTTCTTCGTCATTACTACTCCTTTGTCTCACACCTCAACTTACTGTCTCTATTATGCATTTCTTTTTACTTTCTTTTCTTGCTTTGTGTGCTACATGGAGGGAGTGTGGCGATTTAAACTGCCGTACATGTGTGCAAAGTTCTATGTAGAAAACAGACAGACAGTCAGACAGTGGTTTTCCCATTCATCTTGAGTTGTTTGTATTTACTGTGATCTCTTTCTTGATTTTTCTTTTTGTTAGTTTTCTCTAGGTAATGCAGATATGCCAGGATCAATCACCGGTGTTGGTGTTGGTGTTGTTGGTGGTGATGTTAATACAGTCGGTGGTCATTTGGATTATTCTCAGCTAGATTTAAATGATAATGATGATGATGATTTAGTTGCAAAAGACTTACAGTTGACTGATTCAGATGATGACAGTTGTTTATCTGGTCAAGGCGGAGAATTATGCACTGATGAGAATGATGGTGTTGGTCTAGTAAGTTGCACTGTAAGTGTATATATGTATGTGTATGTGTGTGTGTGTGTGCGTATGGTTGTGACACTTTTTCTTCTTTACATTTTTATTCTGTGCTAAATACTCTGGATGCTGGCGGAGGGGTAACGGATGAGATTTCCAACCGTAAAATGAAGGCTAGGGTGGCATACATCAACTTGAGCCACCTCTGGGGCGCCATCGCGACGTCAGCCTGGCTGTCAAAGGTCGGGTATACAATGTTTCCGTGCGGGCGGGCTGTCTTGCTCTACGCCTGTGAAACCTGGCCTCCCAGGAGCTGAGGATGTGTGGCGGCTGTGCGTATCCGATCATTGCTGTCTCCGCAGGATTGTTTGCGTTCGATGGCATTATCGCGTGAGTAATTCTGAGGTTCGGCGGCGTGTGTTTGAACACAGTGGAGATCAGCATTCACTGAGTGTCGTCATCTGGAAACACCGGCTCCGGTGGCTTGGACATGTGCTACGAATGTCATCCCAGAGGCTTCCGTACAGGTCTCTGTGACGTGGCGTCATGGGATGAAGGATGTTTGTGCTAGATTAGCACCGGTTGGTTGGTGACGACTCCCTGGTTGGGGTCCATGAGACAGCCCGAATCGGTGGCTCGAAACGTTATCGGATATGGCCAAGAATCGCTGTCATCAATGGCGAACGTGTTGCAATTTCCTTCTTTCTCCCCTTTCCAATGATAGTTGACGAATACTGTTTGAACTTGTTAAGTATGACTGTTTTCCTTCCAGATGAAGTTGTTTACCCGTTCTCTACTTATATTTTTCACTTTTGATCTGTGTTGTTTTATTATTTATTGTGTGGCGCATCCTTCTTGGTGCCATATTGAACCAAGTTTTTTCTGCGTTTAAATAAAATACTTATAGATATATGGTCAAAATGAAGTGAATAATGAGGCTTTAAACTCTCACTGGTTGACTACTAACCAGTTCAGTGCTGATTAGTTGGTTGGTTGCTTGGATGGATGGATGGACCAACTAGGCTGTCTACACCTCCCTCCCTCTACATAGTTAGCTGAGACCCAGTACTCGAAGACTTCATGGATTGATTCCAGATTTCGTTTCGATCATCCTTAACTCTGTATTTTTGTCAACCTATGTCAATAAAGACTGCCAGTCGAGGAAGGCGATGGCTTGGCATACGCAACTGTGGTTGATATGCAATTCCATACTAAGAGTGAGGATTAGAGAGGTTTCGCGTGCATTTCGGATTGTGAGGGCGATTGTTACTTCCCGGCTGCCCACACCGTGGAAGTTGGTTGCGTGACCGCAGAGCCCAGGGGACAACTGCTTGAAGCCGGTCACATGCGGCCTGTTTTTGTTTGTTCTTTTTTATTTGGTGTGTCTCAGTAGCATATTTATCACTTCTGCCCTGAAAAACGGCATCAGGAAGCGCGGTCGTTGTTAATCCGGGCCCCGACCGATCCGGCATGATATTTTGTGGATTTGTTTGAGTCATAGCATTGGATTGGGTAACTGCTTTTTGTCTAACCGCTATCCAAACAACCTTTCTGGCATGGTAGGACCTCAAGCGACATAAGTCTCAGCCAGTATAGCTTGTTGGGTCATAGCGGTGTTCAAGCCCGACCATCACGTCAAGGTAGCAGCTTTCGGTCGGGCTAAGATATCACACACAGAGTAGCATTTCCATACAAAGAACCAGCTTCAGAAAGCCTAAGCAGAATTCTTAACAACGCAGGAATAAAAGTGGTAATCGAACCCACAAACACTCACTTAAAAAAACAGATTATGTTGGTTAAAAGACCCTATAGAGCCTATTAAACAAATAATAATTTACAAGTATTAGTTTTGTAGGGATTTTGTTTGATTAGTTGGAGAGTTTCATCATGCGCTGACATCAGTTAAACGACCATCTCGAAGAAGACATTGTGAAGTGGTCGCGCTATGTCATGAATTTTTCAGAAGTTAGAATTCATCGACTGACTGTTCTACGAGCTTGTTAGCCTTGTAACCAGAAGGTCCTGAGTTCGACCCCCTATGGTGGGTGAGTGCTGTTGAGGAGTCACAAAACTGGGACGGAGGAAAAGGCCGTCCAATGGTTCTCTAACTGATGTCAGCTAAAAATAATAATTTAGTTTATCTAATACCCTGCAATGACTGTCAGGTCAAATATATACAAAGCAGTGCAGTAAAACTGAGTCAATCAGACTAGTGGAGTACAAAAACCTAGCGAGGTAATCTAGATTAATTGAGCCTAATAAGCTTAAGAAGTCTGGAGAATAGGTCAGCCATAGCACTACATGCTGTTACACACAACCATACAATAGAATACGATAAGATGACAGTTTGAAAATCTAATACAATAGGATGGAGTGATCAAGGTTGATAACGAACACGAACAACAGAAGTGATTCTACACCTGGACATCTGGAAAATTCTACTACCCCTACGAAGCGAATGTGAAGGAATAAAGAAAACCATTATGACGAAAGTTTCGAATATCACACAGTGATGATGATACAGTATTAACAACTGGATGACAAGATTTCGAGCACAATTTATTCCTGGTCATAATCATATCAAGGTACTCACTTACACAACTTTGTTGCTTCGTTTATATACATAAGTAAAAATTGATTATACACATTATTATTATCATTATTGTTCCCTTGGGTTCCTAGTGGAACATAGGGCTTCAGCTGCACGTCTCCACTTGCTTCTATCTTCTACTGTACTTTTCACTTGCATCCATGTTAGTCCATACTGTTTCAACTCCTCTTCACACGATCTCCTCCATGTCACCCTTGCACTCACGTCCCATTTGCAGCTTCCCTTTCGGGTTCCACTCGAGGACTGGCCTGACGCGTGATGTCACCCAGCGAGTGGCCTCCTCAGCGAGTGTCCAATCCATCTTCACTTTCTCCTGCATATTTGTTGAGTGATTGGTTCTTGTTTTGTTTCTTCCCATAGTTTCTTGTTGGTGATTCTTTCCGGCCATCTGATCTTGAGTAGTGTAGAGCGAAGACAGTTGTTGATAAAGGTCTGCAACAAGCTGTTGTAAATATTCTTTGTGACCCACCAAGTTTCTGATCCGTATAGAAGAACTGACTGACTTGACGTTTGTATTAAAAATCCGAATTTCAACGCTTCTGTAACTGTTGATGCTGTTGTTATTGTTGTTGGTTGGTTGGTTATTTTCATAACCTTCGTCTTGTCTATGTTCACCTGGAGTGCTGTCTTTGCTTCTTCTTTGACCAGTTTGTCGTTTTTCGCTTGTAATTCTTCGATTTTGTGTGACATCAAACATAAATCATCCACGCGCGAAATCCAGGTCTTCTAGGTTCTTCACGTCTAACATCAAATAAAATGTTCAAATACATATATACATATTTTGTTTGGAATGAAATGACGACGCCTCTGCCTTTGTTTATCCCTTCATTACGTGCGTCATCCACTGTTGCCATCATAGGGCACATTGGTGAATACAGACGACATACATTCGGGCGTATCGTGTATTAATGCTTCACCTATAATTCTCCAATTTCTTCCACATACTTGAAACTATCTTTCAAGCTGTTTCATGAATCTGTTGTGTACGGCTGTAAACGTCGTGCCAGCCATTTCCTGGTGGATTGGTTTGAATAATCAAGACAAACCGATAACCGTAGTAAGTGACAAGCCATCCGTGTGATTCTTAGGCAGGCCATATAACCTCGGTGTCACCGTACCGACAGTTTTTCTTTTTTAGTATTCCATATAAAACTGATGAAATTTTTTGTCTTGTTGTTTCAACTTTTCAATGATTCTGTTAACTGGATTTCATATTAGATAAGATTGTTTTAGATATCACACGGAGGTTATGAAAATAACCAACCAACAACAACAGCAGCAGCAGCAACATCCAGCGCCAATCACCATCAACGGGAGGGATTTGAAAGAGGTCACTTCATTCACTTATCTAGGGAGCATTGTCTCAACTACAGGAGGAACGGACGGACGAGGATGTCAAATCGAGAATCGGGAAGGCGAGAAACACATTCATCAACCTGAAACCAATCTGGAAATCTTCCGCTGTCACTCAGCATCAACAACAAAGTGATTCGGATTTTCAATACAAACGTCAAGTCAGTCAGTTCTTCTATACGGATCAGAAACTTGGCCAGTGTGTCACAAAGAATATTTACAACAGCCTGTTGCAGACCTTCATCAACAACTGTCTTCGCTCAATACTACTGAAGATCAGATGGCCTGAAAGAATCACCAACAAGAAACTATGGGAACAGACAAAACAAGAACCAATCACTCAACAAATATGCAGGAGAAAGTGGAGATTGTTCGGATACTCTCTGAGGAGGAGGCCGCTGGGTGACATCACGCGTCAGGCCAGTCCTCGAGTGGAACCCGAAAGGGAAGCTGCAAATGGGACGTGAGTGCAAGGGTGACATGGAGGAGATCGTGTGAAGAGGAGTTGAAACAGTATGGACTAACATGGATGCAAGTGAAAAGTACAGTAGAAGATAGAAGCAAGTGGAGACGTGCAGCTGAAGCCCTATGTTCCACTAGGAACCCAAGGAAACAATGATGATAATAATAATGATAATTTTAGTCACATTTCGTCTTATGTATATATGTATATTTTCTCTCTTTCCGTCTCTCCAACTTCTTGTTGTTGTTTGTTGTCACTTTCCATATATTTCCGGTATAGGTGACGCGTTGCGTCATATCGATTATATGTATGTGGTGTTGAATCGATAAACAAAGCTTCAGTGATTAACCTTTCTGTGCGTCGGTGGCGTAGCGGTTAGGACTGTCGCCGGCCATGCACATGGTCCAGTGTTCGACCCCCTACCGACGCACACCCGATATCAATGGCCGGCCTGTAAAATTTGGGCTACTGATACCACATACCGAAAATTCCATACTTGTACAAAAAATACGGTGCGGAATCAAGCTATAATAATTGAAAAAAACAACCTTATTACTTTTTAATACTCTCACCTTGTCCCACCCTATCTCTGTGTGATTACACGCAAGTGAATGCAGTGCAATGGCTCATGTATATAAACGAAGCAAAAAAATTGTGTGAGTACCTTGATATGATTATGAGCAGCAATAAATTGTGCTCGAAACCTTGTCATCCAGTTTTTAATACTGCATCATTATCACTGTGTGTGTGCGGTATTTAAAAATAAACTTATCTAATATGGAATTACACATTCTACCACCACAGTGCTCAAGTTCTATGCCCAATGACAAAGGGGGTGACATGAAGTAGAAGAACATTTGTAACAAGTTATGCATCGATCAAATTGCAACACTAAGGATCATCATTGAACAGAGCTTGGAATGGCAGTCAACTCTCTAACTCACTCAGCTTCACCGACTTTGAAAAGGCCTTCATCTGACAGCGTTGATCGAGAGGTGACTTGGAAACTACAGTTACACATCTTATCCAACAGTTGTACGATAATGTTGCATGCCAATGCAGTAGACTGGATAGTGCCACAGACAGCGGTGGGCAGCGAGGAAACAGGCATAAAATGGACCCACACAAAGAATTTGGAGGATTTGGACTTCGTCGATGATGATACATGTCTGATTTCCCACAAACTGGAAGATATGCAAGTGAAAAGCAACAAGTTGGCGATAGAAGAAGCATCCAGAGAAGATAGGAAGGACTTCAGGTGAACATAGAGAAAACAGATGTAGGTGATGATGAAGATTCCTGGCCAACAGCAACAACAACAGACAACAATCAGCATAAATGGGAAAAATCTGAAAGAAGCAATCTCCTTCACCTACCTACCTACCTACGTGGGAAGCATCGTTTCAACTACAGGCGGACGGAACTGATGAGGATATCAAGGCAGTGAGGATCGGGAAAGCAAGGCAAGCTTTCATTACTCTCAAGTCTGTATGGAGATCAACAGCACTCATCATGAAAAACAAGATCTGGATTTTTAACTCCAATGTGAAGTCAATCAGTGCTACTCACTATACGGATGAGAGACTTGGCGCCACGCCGCGTCACGAATTGCACTTCGAACAAACTACAGAGCTTCATCAACAGCTCTCTTCGCTCAATACTTGGCTCAAGACCAGATGGCCGGTCGTAAAAGATCAGCAACAGGGATTTCTGGGAGCCGACCAACCCAGCAGGAACCGATTATGCAACAAGTATGCAAGAAGAAATGGAGGTAGGTGGATTCTATTGGCCATACTCTGAGAAAGCAAACTGTCATCAAGTGAGTGGCATCACACGCCAGGCCATCGGTCGAGTGGAACCCGAACGGGAAGCGGCGAGTTGGTTGTCAATGAGAGGGTGTGGTGACATGGAGGTGATAAAAGCACGTAGGGTCAGACGTGGAGTCAGGTGAACACATTGGCAGAGAAGCGAACGTAATGGAGACGTGAGCGGCTGAAGCCCTATGTTCCTCTAGGAACTAAAGGAAATAATAATAATAATAATAACACTGCCCAAATTCTTCACTTACATTCACCAAAGTTTCGAAGTCGTATCGTTACAATTGATGACATGATTGTGAACAATAATGTGAATTATTCATTATAAATTATTTAAATTAATCCCAGCGTGTTAAGAAAAACAAAACAAGATTTTTCTGAACGTTTCGCTGTGTAAGCCACAGCAGCTTCAGCAGCAATCTGACTCGGCGCTCAAATTATTCCAGGAAGTTCGTAACACCTACGGCCTGGAAACCTATAATAATGTGAATTGTATTCATAACGTTTTCATCCAGCAAATAATAATAATATTACTAAACTCTGATATCCAACAAAGCCAGTCGAAATTCCAAGTTAGAATGAAGACTAGTCATTCAATAGTACCTTTGTCTGTTTATTGATTTATTTCTCCATTTCTTTATTATTATTATTGTTGTTGTTGTTCTTGTATCCACGTCTTTGTGTAACATCCAGACGCGTCAAGTATTTTGTTCGATAATTTATTTGTTTAAAACTTTTTGTTGTTTACACGTGTGTGTCTGATTCTTACCCCCAGATTGCTGACTAGGCTGATGTCTGTCTCAAATTCACTTAATTAGACTTTTTTGGTGACTATCGCCTCAAGGTTTTTTTTTAGCAAAATGTTCTTTTACAAAGTAACTAGGGTATATTATTGTTTCCTTCAATTCCTAGAGGAACATAGGGCTTCAACCGTGCGTCTCCATTGCTTTCGGTTCTCTGCTAGAGTCTTCACCTGGCTCCATGTCTGCCCACACGTTTTCATCTCCTCTTCACATGACCTCCTCCAAGTCAATCACCCTCGCACTGACGAACAACTCGCCGCTTCCCTCTCGAGTTCCACTCGAGCAATGGCTTGTCTAGTGATGTCACTTGATGGATTGTTTCCTCAGAGTATGGCCAATCCATCTCCATTTCTTCCTGCCTATTTGTTTCACAATCGGTTCCTGGTTGGTTCGCTCATTGCCAGAGATCCCTGTTGCTGATCTTTTCTGGCTAGCCATCTGATCTTGAGTATTGAGCGTTTGTTTGAAATGCTCTGTATGACGCGCCAAGTCTCTGATCCGTATAGTAGCACTGACTGACTTCACATTGGAGTTGAAAATCCGGATCTTATTTTTGATTCTGAGTGTTGTTGACCTCCACACAGACTTGGGAGTAATGAAGGTTTGTCTTCCTTTCCCGATCCTTGCTTTGGTATCCTCGTCAGTTCCGCCTGTAGGTAATACGATGCTTCCCAGGTAGGTAGGTAAAGGAGGTTGTTTCTTTCAGGTTCCTCCCATTTATGCTGGCTGATTGTTGTCTGTTGTTGTTGCTGTTGGCCTGGAATCTTCATCACCTCTGTTTTCTCAATGTTCACCTGAAGTCCTTCCTATCTTCTCTGGATGCTTCTTCTATCGCCAACTTGTTGCTTTTCACTTGCATATCTTCCAGTTTGTGGGAAATCAGACATATATCATCATCGGTGAAGTCCAGATCCTCCAAGTTTTTTGTGTAGCTCCATTTTATGCCTGTTCCCTCATTGCATGCTCACCTATACGAGTCTGGTTGAGGGATGAGTCCTTCAAAAAATACCAAGAACTACTGTTAGCTGTAGAGAGATTTATGGGTGGTGATGGTGTTGGGGGTAGTGGTTACACATGCCTCTACAAAGTACAGATGCATACACATTTCGCATATAATTTTCAAGATTCTAGTAAGTACTTGCTACTCAGGACGCTGACAAAATGCAGACAGGGTCTTCTGAAAACCTTGAGCTGCAATCTACGAATGTTTGGCATGCGATTCACTCCCTTTGTCAAATGCAAGATGATGTTACAGGATTGGACTACATTGACTGCTAGATTAGAAATAGGGAGTGAAGTGGTTGGTGGAGCGTGTTGGCCGCTTCACTTACTTGGGAAGTACCACCAGCCAGCACCAATGGGTTGATCTCTGACGAAATTTCAGTACGGATACAGAGGGTTAGTTTCGCATATGCCAGTCTACGCCGTCTCTGGCTTAGTAGACGTGATATCCGACTGGCTGTCGACCAAAGGACGTGTGTGTGTACTGCTCATCAGTCCGCTCCGTCCTCCTTTATGGCTGTGAGACCTGGCCATCGAGAGTGGAAGACATGAAAAGACTATGCGTCTTTGATCATAGGTGTCTGCGTTATATCTTCCGTGTGAAGTGGTATAATAAGGTGAGCAATATTGAGGTTAGGCCTCGGTCGAGTGCTAGATAAGGAGGGGAAATCAATCGACAAGACTGTGAAATTACATCGACTGAGATGGTTGGGACATGTGTTACGTATGCGTAGCCATCTATCGCCTTCCTCGACAGACAATGCTAGCTGACAAAGGGTCAGGTTGGAAAAGAGCTAGTGGCGGTCAAACCAAAACATGGCCTCACCAGTCAATGAAATCTACAACAGTTAGTTTAAGCCACGTAAGAAGGTGTAGAGTGGCTTCCTGACTGGTTGGGGTCCTCGGGACAGTAAAAACCAATGGTTGGAAACAATTGGTGACATGGCTCAAAATCGTTCTCAGTGGCTGGTGCAGATGCATCCACTCCTTGTGACTTATTTCCAACGAAACTGTTTTGTTCTTCGTTATTACTATTCCTTTGTCTCACACCTCTATTTACTGTCTATATTATTCATTTCTCCTACTTTCTTCTCTTGCTTTGTGTGGTACATGGAGTGTGGCGACTCGAACTGCTGCACATCGGTGCAAAGTTCTATGTTGAAGACAGACAGACAGACTCGGTACTCACTCTGTGTGGTCATTCATTTCCCCGATTATTATAGGGTTCTTTTTTGTTGTACACTTCCCTACTCTTATTATATGGCTAGTAGTGGGACTGGTAGAACACAATTCCTAAGATCAGATATCCTACATACACACCAGGCTGTAAGTCACATTTTGATTTTGTCAAGATTAATAAGACTTATTGCCCGATTGCTCTCAAGCTAAAAGAGGTGGAATGGGGTTCGAGCCCGGGGCCTGACTTGATTGGGAGTTGACTACCTAAGTCGTTGGTCTATATCTCTACATTTTATAAAAAGAAATGAATAGTTATCCAATGTTTCTAGGTTAAAGTATTATTATTAGTAGTAGTAGTATAAAACAAATTAAAATAAATGACATCAACTATAAATCTATCCCTAATCGTAAACATAAGCTTAATCCTGACCCTAACACTTAACACTTAATCATAACCCTTACCCAAACGGTAATTCTGACCCTAATGCAAATTATAACCCTGATCCTAACCTTAACCCTAACGAGCTATTAACACATTGTCCAAACAGTACTTAAAATCGTGATCTGGGTGAAATTTGCTCCCAAGTTGGTGAATAGCGAGCGTTGATATTTCAGCTATGATAATGACAGATGCCGTTAGCCAACGACTAGCATGTGTTCAAGGTTGAACTTCGCCTGTAACCCTTGGTGTTGGTGCTCTTGCCTGAATAATAGTCTTATTATTATTGTGATTATTATTATTATTGTTTTCTTTTTCTATAGAATCTGGTTGGCGATGAAGAAGACGTTGATGGCAGAGGTGCTGGTGGTGGTGCCGAGGGTGTTAATACACATGCTGATTATACAGGATATAATCTAAGCAATTCTCAAATTATGCCCCAAAATGACTCGTTCTCATATGATCAACACTGCCAACAAGAACAAGAGCAGCAGCAACAACAACAACAAAATGACGATAACAATCCTGTCTCCTTTTTTATCAGTGATGAAGACGATGACGACAGTTAGAGGCGAATAAATAAAAAAATTATATTCCTTCATTATTTATTGTATATATATATATATATATATATATAATAAAAGCAGATGAACTTTTTGTCTCCTCTCACTGCCTATCCCTACCTCCCTGCCTTCTGACATTCCCTTTCAAATATAACTCCTGCATTTCATGTATGTTACACACACTTCAGTGTGTTTCTCTGTTTGTCCAACTGACTGATTACTTGTGTTATACTTATACTACTTATATATTGATTGAATCATTCATTCATTCGTTGGTGAACATGTTGTCTCTGAGATTTATCTCCAGATTTGTGTGACTGTGACACTTTGCCTCTTACGTCTTATTCCTCTTCCTTATCTTTATCTATAGATCTCTCATTGAATTCATATAGACAAATAGAGAGGATATAATTCCATTGTATATTGTTATCTATTACCCCCGTGCTCCCCTCCCCCCCCGCTGTATCCCAGATGGATGTGTAAACTGTAACAGTCTGTACAGAATACCATTTCATTGTACATATATATTTTTCAAAATATGTTACTATTATTGAAAACAATTAATTCTCTTTATGAATAATAGAGAAGATTTGTAGCTCAGGTGGATGATGAATTTCAATATAGCGAAAATATTCATTCAGACATCTATCTATAAAACACAAAATAATTGAGCCGGCAAAGAATATCCTTTTCGATAATTCCCGCCTCTTCTGGCTCTACAATTATATACCTATATGTTCATATACATAGAATATTCTAGATTAGTAGTCAATAACAATATTAGTGTTACTTTAAATAATATCGATCTGTAAAGTAAGATGACAATGGAATTACAGTTCATCAAAGATGCTTAAATTAAATTAGTAATAAAGATATAGTTGCGAATAGAATATCAACTAAAATTAGGGAAATTCCACAAAAATTCAGGATCATTCAAACCTAGATGGCCAAGGTAAGGATAATGTCTGAACTAGCATCTTCTGGATGCATAAATTAGGATTCTTAATGTGTATCCCAACAGTCAGCCTCAGCAATATTTAGTAGTCGAACTCTTAAGGCGAAATTGAGATTTGTTGGTTGGTATGGGGTAAATGACTTTGAAGACCGCCTTGTTAACATCAATCTCGTGTTCTGTATCCACAAAATGAGATAGAATAGCGCTACGAATAGATTTTGTTTGTCGTTTACTTAACCACACAAGGCGATGTTCGGAAATCCGATGAGAAACACGCCTAATTGTATGGCCTATGTTAAACTGGTAGATACACAAACATAGAAGAGGCGAAATTAGGCAGTATATTCTTTTTTGCAGTTTCGTGCCCTTAAAATACAAACGCAATCTCATAAAGTGCTTGTTTCACAGAGCAAAAGCAATCTGTTCGGATGAATGTCTTGATGAGGAACTTAATAATATTAAACGGTTGGTGAGTGAGAACGGTTATCTAGAAAAGTTTATTGATAAGAGTATGAATCTAAAATGAAGCAGCTCAAGGTACCAACAGTTCGTAAAAAGGCCTTATTCTTACAAATTCACTTTCTCGGGGACAACATCAGCGAAATACTAACAAAACGCCTAAGAAATGAGGTGCAAAAAGAGCATTCCCTGCTGCTGAATTACGCTGTGTCTTCAAAACCACCGCTCTTTTGCGTTCGAGAGTAAAAGATAAACTGCTCATATGCAGCCAGTTACATAGGCCGTACAATTAGGCATGTTTCTCGTCGAATTTCCGAACATCACTCTGCGTGGTTAAGTAAAAGAAAAACAAAATCTATTCGCAGCGCTATTCTATCTCATCTTGTGGATACAGAGCACAAGACTGATGTTGAGGAGACTTTCAAAGTCATTTATCTAATACCAAGAAATCTCAACTTCGCCATAAGATTTCGTTTACTAAATTTTGCTGAGGCTGGCTGTTGGGATCCACACTAAGAAGCCTAATTTGTGCGTCCAAAAGAAGCCAGTTCAGACATTATCATCTACTTGGCCATCCAGGATTGAATGATCCTCAATTTTTGTGGAATTTTCCTAATTTTAGTTGATATTCTATTCGCTACTATATCTTTTTTATTATTATTATTATAATTTAAGCATCTTTAATGAACTGTAATTCCATTATGATCTTACTTTACAAATTGATATTATTTAAAATCACCAACATTGTTATTGACTACTATTCGAGAATATTCCATGTTTATAAAATTGTATGGATATTTGTAGAGCCAGAAGAGGAAATGATCGAATTTAAACAAAGCAATAAGAAGACGTAATTTGTCTGAATCGTGTAATATTATGTATTTTTGCGCACAACACATTTCGAACAATCTGATCCAGCACACACGGACTTGTCATAGGAATATATACATGTGAAATCAATAAAGAGTCAAGAGATGGGAAAATAAATGTATTTAGGTCAAGTTAAAAGGACATATTGAAGGTCAAAATAACAATGAAGGTCACCAAGCCAAATAACAGAGGTAATAGTACATCTCCCTTGGCCGGTATCAAAACAAAGTTTACCAAGGAAGATTTAATGTGATGACGAATTGTTGCTTTGAAAGCATAAGGTTGGTTTAAACTTTCTAATTGGCAGCAAAGGCTTCATCAAACTTTAGGATACGCCCTCCACCAAACACGTTTTATAGATAGGCTTAAAAGATGTGTTAACATCAATTTTTCGCCTTGTCACTATAATATGTATTTCGCTACAGAGGAGCTAGGTCGTCTGTTCTCACCATTAATGGGTTCTGGAGATTCTATTTGCTTCTGGAATATGCTCTGAAACCAGCTCTTACTTGCAAAGATCGATGAGTCCTCTCTTCTATGCATGTGTATCCACACGTACATTCAAATTGGTAAATACATTATGGGATGTGACATCATTTTTCGCATGTTCAAAGGGCTTAGATGTATATACTGACTGCAAAGTAAGACTTGACAAGTAAATATTTATAAAGGCCCGATCGATAGCTGCTACCTTGACACGGTGGTTGGGCTTTTATATCGTAATTACCCAACTAGCTACACTGGCTGGAACTATTGTTCCTGCAGATCCTATCATGCCAGGAAGATTGTTAGGATAGCGATTAGACTAAAAGCAGTTACCGGTAGAGTGTAAGAATTTTTTTATTACACTATTTTGGGGGTCTGTGGGCGAAGTCGTACTGCTGGGGAACAGGGATGTAACAGCCGCAGTAAGGTGTTTCCCTCAGATGACCAGCATGCCAGCCAGCTATGCTGTCTCTTCACTCTTGAGAGAGGGGGTTAGAAAACGTCGACTCCAACAATTGTACATCCGAACTTACCCTATGGTGCTCCGTAACCGGCGGTGACTTTACTAATACGGAACCAATCCAAGAAGCTAGTTTATACAGGCTGTGTGTAACAGGCCTCAAGCAGTTGTCCCCTGGGCTCTGCGGTCACGCAACACTAACTCTTTTTCTGTTTCAGGTACCCGAAGAATCGATATTTATATAAAGGCGAAATCAGTATAAGAAAAATAGAATAAAAACAAAATGTTTGTTTATTCTGATATACACAAACACTCCTCTGAAAACTAATCCATACAATCAGGGTTATTAGAAAGTTTTGAATTAGAAAGAATAATAATAAATACCTTAGACATATAAGCAGAAAATACAGTTTATCTACATTGGAGGACAATTATTACTCTCGATACTAACTAATATTGTTATTACGATTAATATTGTTATTAACTTACTAGCCAATTTAATGTCATGAGGTCATCATATCATAGTATTGTGGTTATTAACACTGATTGTAATACCATTATGGCTAAATCTCTTTGTTTATCTAAACTTGAGATAGCTTTATTACCCGCTATCCGCTGACCAGCGTATCATCTGTCTAGTGCATAGTATCACAGTACCAAATAAACTGCCAAGAGCCACTAGGTAAAATGCGCTCCCATAAAACCATCATCCTCTCTCGAAATGCTCTCGTGTAGCCACCAATATTCGATAGCCCCTAACAGAGGTAGGCCTTCATGCAGTGGAGGTGTTCTTCACAAAATTGGAAGGGCGACTTCGAACGTCTGGTGTACCTAGAGGAGATGGAAAACCCTGATTGCAAACCTACGGTGTGTATATGGGCTCCAGAATCGGAACGAATCGAATGACGTGTGACATCTATTTGGAACGCCGGAAACCATGGAAACTCTACTGCTCTATGGATCAGCCCTGAAGTCATATGCCCTTGGGGTGGGGTTTTAGCTCTAAGTTGGGACGAAAAAACTATCCAGTACTCCAAAGTTCTTCAGCGGTTCTCCAAATGATGTCAGTTCCTGATAAAACCTGCAACCGATCATATCTACTTGTTTATTGGATACAGCACACATGAAGGGGAGCAGTACAGAACGACAAAGTTTTAAACAGGATTTGTTGGCACATAACCATATCGCACACAGGTGGAATGCTCGCCAACCATGAATGCGGTCCGGGGTTCCATCGCCGACCACCGACGCAATGCCAAATCTAGCTGAGCCAGTAGCAAGACTGGTAAAGAGGGAAGGTTGGCCATGAGGCTAGCAACCATATTGCGTAAAAATAAACACCACTGCTGCCGAAACTTCAAGAGAAGCTCTAGTTTGAAGCCCTATGTTCCACTGGGAACGTAAAGGAATAAAAAAACCAAATCACCAACTGTAACTGTAGAACTTCGAGCTTTTTTTATTTCTTTTACTGTCTTCCCACTTGTCTTAGAGGTAGTAGTGTAACGATAGAAGACAAAAGCCAGGCAACAGGTCGTTTATTGAGAAAATCAACACATATTTATAGATTTTTATGTATATATTTGTGAAAAATTATATTTGTAATATCTCAGCGATATTGAAGAAGTTCGGACGAGATTGCCGAACGAAACGTTGGAATTCCTTATTTCAATATCGCTGAGATATTACAAATATAATTTTTTACAAATGTCTACTTCTCACTCGGCGCCCAAATATTTTAGAACTATTCGGTCAAATCTTGACGACAGTTCATTTGAATTATTTTGCTATCGAATTAAATTAACAAAGAAACTATGTAATTGGCACAATCATCGTGTTTTCAGT